TCAGATCAGACAAACCTGCAGAGACGGTCGCCATTTGGTTTGGTGGGGTTTTTTTTCCACAGTGTGGACGGTGTCAGTAAAGCCGTTTCAGAAACATTGGCATTGGTCGCCATTTTGCCTTCACACATTCAGAGAGCCGTTTACAAAAATAGCTCACTTGTGAAGCGGGCTGCGGCGTGGAGAGGCTGTCAGGAGTGTACCTGGCTCGCCTCTATTCATGACTCGTATAAACACAAACCCACAGCAGCCTCAGCCCCCCCCGCTGCTGCACACAGAGGACACATTCATCCACACTGGGCACCATGGGGGGGGGGGGGGGGCACAGACGCTCCAGCCCAGAGGAATGTTTGAGACCATCAGGGCCGTGTTGAAGGCTCAGGAACAACACAATCAGAGCTCGTCCAACGTCTCAGTCTGCTGATCAGATAAACGTGACAGAGTTGTGACATGATGAGCGGCGGCTTCATCATCCTGATCCTCTCGCAGGATAACACAACATTCCTCACACCAACGAAGAAGAATCCCTCACACTCTGGAGGAACAGAGGTTGTGAACTTTTAAACGGCTTCCACAATGAGGCAGGCCGTCGAGTCGTCTCCATTTCTCTCTCTCTCTCTGGCTCCTCTCTTTGGATCACTCTCAGTACACCTCGCTCTCTGTGCACATCAACGAGCTCCGTGAAGCTGCCAGGCTGAGGCTCAAACATGCAGACACAGTTATGAATATGATAATCACAAACGGCACAGTGTGCGGATGAAGTTCACTCCGGGGGCTGAGCTGCTTTTAGGGGAAAGCTGAAAACGCAGCATCGTGCACACATTCAAATGAGAAACTGAACTGATGTTTAATTTATAATGCAAACAGATGTGAGGATGTTTGTGCAAAAAAGAGACAATTCTGAAGAAAAAAAATCATCTGAGCTGCATTTATTTGTCTAAGATGTTTGCACATGAAGAGTGGGTCTTTGATGCAAAGGACAAAGAAAAGGGAAAAGATGCAGCCTGTAATCATTAGTGGGTTTCCTTCAGTTTTCAAACTCATGTTGAATCAATTAAAAATGGTGAATGTAAAATATGTGCAACATGTTTTTTTAATCTTAATGTTCTCTCCCTCTCAGAATCCTCCAACTTGAATCTCAATGTTTCTCATTTCAGCCATTTTGGAGGCAGAAAGCTTCTCAAAACTGCAGTTGTTGTTTTTTCCCCCAAAAGTGGGGTCCATGGGGGAGGGGGCCGGGTGCCCCACTTCCTCTGCGGACCCCTAACATAAACTGGTCTGAAGTTTAAACCCAAAAGAAAGCGTTAGTGTGAGCTAAAGAAGGGGAAAGCAACTTTTACTCGCAGTAAAATAAGATATGTGATGTTAGTGTAACAATGAACCAACTTAAAGCAGTACAGCATGGAGGTCAATGTCGGGGTCTGCAGATAAGAGAGGGTCTGCAGTTTGCACGTTTTCCTACGTGAAATTAATGGAAATAAAAAAGACAAAGTACGCACACTTTATAGAATAAGTACAGTAGCTCGGTACCAACCTTGGATGCAGATAAAACCGACGGCGAACATCGTCTCCGCCGCTGCCAACCTCCTCCTCTTCCTCACCGCGGGGGTCCTCCGTGCTTCCTCCCGCCGGGTCTCGCTCTCTCCGGGTACATCCATGCCCGTCCTGGTGCTCCGGCGGCTCCCCGGTTCTCTGTGTTCTCCGGCGGCTTCGGTAGAGCCGTGTTGCGAAAGAGGAGCGTCAAAGATATCCGTGCGTCACCGTGTGCGTAAAGGTAAACCTAGCCGCGTTACCTGCGCAGGTCCCCGGGGAAACCACGGCCTGCTCACCTGGTTGTTGTGGAAACTAGCAGGAACGAGGCGGAAACATGTGGAGGACGCTCCGGTTTACAGGCCAGACAGACGGACGAGTGACCGAGTTCAGAGCAAGGAGCCGCGCGGAAAGTTTGAGGCGAACTTAAATCCTCCAGGTGTTATAAGGACCGGGGGTTAGGTGTGTTTTCAGCCCGCAGAGGTTCATCACAGCCCGGTGTGAGTGTCCGCTGTCCGCCGCGTACAGATCCACCGACCGCCGGTCACTTCAGTCCGCAACAACAGCGAGTTTGTCTCCGCGGTGTTTCAGAGTTGGCTTCCTCCCACCGCCAGAGAGGTTTTCTACTCCAGCGTCAAGCGTGACGAGACAACATACGTCAGTTCCGGTCAAGACTTTCACAGTAAGTATAATAAAGAATGATTTTTAAATGACTGCACATTCTAAAAAAAGGATTAAGGAATATGCTCTTTTTGTTATTAATATTGTGTCAAATTATGTTTTTTTTATTCTACTTCAGTTTAGCTATCCGTTGTCTAACACTGTGGTCATACAGAATCAGAATAAAGATAAAGATAAAGATAAACTTCATTGATCCCCCATGGGGGAAATTTTTTCGTTACCACAGCTCAAGCAAAACAGGAAACAGGAATATAATTATTAAAAATAACAAGAAGTTAAAAATCAAACATATTTACATCAGTTAAATAAAGGGATACAATAATAGAATAATCATGACCAGGAGATGATTTTACGCAGTAATTGTACACATCCGAGTGATTGTACACATACGAGGAATTTACTTTATTTTTTAGAGACAAAAAAGTATTTATCCATATATTTTTAAAAATCTTTATTCTACTTTTTCATTTATTTAATTTTAAAGCGTATATATTTTAAAACTGAGCATTTATTTATTTCAATAGGCTTCATTTAATTTTACCAATATTATTTTTCGAGTTAGCCAATATTATTACCAAATTAGCATGTTGTAAAACATTTATTTAAATGTATAATACTGTCATAGTCTATGAACTGACACTTCACACTAAACATTTTCAAATACTTTTTAAAATCCGAACTGACCTTAAAGTCTTTTAGTTTGAAATCCAGAGTCACACATCCGGTGTTTATGTGAAATTCTGGTAACTTTACTGTTTTCCCTCTTCTTTTTTTTCATAGAGGAGCTTCCGGCTCCCGTACCTGAGCCGGGATAACGAATACAACAGCGCCACCTCCTGGTTTAACCGGATCACTGTGTCATTAGAAAATTAAGGGCCGTTTCACAGCATTACTCAAATTCTAAAAAAATATATAAAAGATCGGCGAAGAATGTGACGATGTCCGATAGAGTAAATAATCCGTAACTTAATTTTTAATTAAAATTAAAAATGCATTTCAGGAGAGATGCCTGTCCGAGAAAGCAGCCGTAAAAATATCACTTACATTTTAAAACAACTTAAAACGATTTTAAACAGCGCTATTACTTTATTCTGATTGGCCAAGGACACAAGACAACGCCTGATTTCCCGCTCATAGTTCACGTTGTTAAGGAGAACCAGCCGTTACTAAGACGGTTGCTATGGACACGGATCGTATCACTGAAATCAACCCGCTGAAGGAAGGTACGTCAGTGTGTTTATGAGGGGGAAAAAAAGAAAAGAAACATGATAAATAACATTTTATTACGACTTTGAATCTAATTAATAACAGTAAACCTTTAATGTATACAAATATGGTTATGGTTAAATATTTTATTTATTTATGGTTTATTGATGATTTGTAAACTGCCCAGCCTTTAGAGGCTTGTCATTTTTTTGTATCTTTCTCTCTTTACCTAAATAATTTCTCATGATTGTTATAACTTCTCAAAAAACAAACCACTAAGATGAACCTTTGTTCAATTGAAAATGTCATGAGGATACCAACAAAGGAAAAAAATATGTTAAAAGACGTCAAAACTAAATGCTGAAGCAAAGAAATACAAATAATAAAGATGTCACATATTTTTCTTCTTCAAGCACAAATCTCTAAATAGCAGAACAAGAGAAAAAAAAAGTTTGCAGAGGTCTCATTTTTATTAACCGTTGTATCAAATCAAAGGACAAACACACGGGCGTGAATAGAAAAGTGAGTTTTATTTCTGAATCAGGTTCACACAGCGGGTCAGATTTATCATCAGACATTATTCAAGACATTTGAGATTTTATAGAATCAGATCCAAACATATTCATATTCATTCCTTTTTAAACCAACAATCATCATGAAGGTGATTTCTCTTCCTGCTCTTTTCCAGATGTTTCATGATTTTATTTTTTACATTTCTTACAAATAAAAAGTAAAACATGAAAACAGGAAACATGATGATTACAGAACATCCAGTTTTTTTTTTTTATAAGCGTCACTAAAGAATAAAAAGGATCAAAGACAGAAGACACTGATCAGAGAAATGTGCAAAATCTATCGTTCTCACAAAGTAATCATCGGGATATGCATCACCCCTGGAACACCTGGAAACAGCTGGAGGATATGTTCACAGTTTGTGGCTTGGCCTGCAGGTGAGGCACACATCAGGCACAACGGATCATTCAGAAGGAACCGGATCAATCAGTCAACCCGGCTCAGACGTGTGATTTTCATTTATACAAAAATTAAAACGTCAAACATTATTGTTGTTTCATCCGCTGGTTTTCTCTGCGTGCAGGAAACACTCAAACACCTGGAGGTCGACGCTGAATGAAATTTAAATTTTAAACTTTTTAAATGTACTCATGATTTCAGCAGTTTGCATTTCTCACCCTGAAGCGTACACCAACACCTTGCGATGCAAAAAATCTCAACAGGCAATTTAAGCATTAAAACGAAATAAAAACTATGATTTACAACTTTACATTCTGTCATCTAAACCCAGCAGACTGATTCATTACACTTCTATTAATGCAGGACATGAGATCTACAGTATTTTACAGTTATAAAACGATTAATGGCACAGGGAGACACAACACATTCTTTTCAAAGGTGGAGTCAGCAGCTTGTTCCTTCAAAATAAAATACAGACTTCTCCTAAAGTAAATCTGCTCCATCGTCTCTTCTGGGCCTCCATACATGTGTGGTGGTGACTGTGTCTGCAGAGACTCTGTCCTCTGACTGGATTTTACTGTTCTGCTTTGTTCTGGTTGACTCTGGATGTTTCTGGGCGGAGCTGGTGTGTTTCCTCCAGCCAATGACAGCGCAGCGCAGCCAATGACCAAGCCGATAAAGCTGGTTCTAAAACGAGGGTGAACCTTGTGTTGTCTTTTACCCGTGGACGTGGAGTTGGTCTGCTTCCTGTTGGACAGGCAGGTGACAAACACCGCCGCTTAGCTTGTGATAGCGTGCGTTAGCTTGCAGTGTAGGTACAAGCAGTAAACGTACACACTACGTCCTCCAGTGAGTGATGAGCCCAGGAGGAGGGGCTTAGTTCGAATTTTGTGTTTACAAACCGCAATGAAAAATGCTGCTGACTCCACCTTCAAATCAAAACAGTGTGAGGAAGTGTTTGACGACCACAGCTGAAGACAAAGTGCTGACTCACAGTGATTCTGGATGAGGGAGAGACGAGGTTGTTTCATGGCCGTGTGTAAGAGGCACTGAGGCGACATGGAACACAACGAGGGAAACATAAAAAAAACAGCCTGAATTTAAAAACTAAACACGTTTCTCTGACTAAATCAAGTCTTTGGATCGGAATCTTCGAGGAATCGGGTCTTTGGGTTGCAGAGAAACTGCCGGGTCTGGTAGTGTTGTTGGTGATCGTTGTAGCTCCAAGAACGAGCCTAAGAAAAGGAGCTTCTGAACAGGAAGTCGTTCAGTTTCCAGTGTAAAGGTCCACGGTGCTCGAGCTCAGACCGCGGCTCTCCCTGAAGTTACCGCCTCCTCGAGTCTGACACAGAAACAGACGGAACATTATTTTATATATGGGCCTTATTAGAAATGACAGCGGAAGAGAGACAGGACATGCTGGGAGGAGAGAGTGGGGGGGTGTGACATGCAGGAAAGGGACGAGGGGGCGAATAGGAACCCACGGCAGCCACGACAGAGACTACAACGTCTGTACATGGGGAGCGTTACGTAACCGCTAGGCCACCCGGCGCCCACTGAACAATACTTTAATGAGTGTTACTTTGTTAGTGGCTACAAAAACATAAACAAACACAAACAGGAAGGAGGGGAATCATAACATATCTAAAGAGCAGAAAGAAGAATCTGGTTTCATTTTGAAGATTTTGTGTTTCCTCACCTGGAACTGGTCGTCACTGGTTTTGTTCAGGTAATTCAAGGAAGCAGCTCGCTTCATGCTGTTGATGACACAGTGAGAAAATAATGTTCAGAAATGATTTCTAAACACACGTTCTAAAAGTGAAAGTGATTCTAATCAGCTGTTGTTACAGTAACAGTTTTATTTTTCTTACTTAGTGCTGCGCGGTTCAGGAGGTCCGTTACCCTGAAGTTTTTTCACCAGCAGCTCGCTGCTTCGACGCAAAACGTCTCTGAGCTTTCCCAGAGAGCCTGCACGCTGGAGAGCGCCGCTGCCGTCCTGCAGACACACAAAAACATCAACACGACCATCAACACAACCATAAACACAACTATCAACACAACTATCATGGGCGCTGGAGTCCCATCGATGGCGGTCTCCATGCTGGAAATGCTGTCTCAGCCTAACCTTCAGTCATCCTAACGACAGACTGAGAGCTAAGGCGGATTTTAAACCTCCTGACAAACGGTTACACCACGCCCACCTGTCAATCAGGTCAGCTACACACCTTATTGTGAATAACTCTTATCCTTCATCAAATCAAAACTGATGAGTCATCAAAACATTCACCCCCCGTACAGTGTGTGTCGATCGAGACATGAGCTAATCAGACCTATTTGGTTTTTGAACCAGGCTGTAAACATGTTAATCTCTGCTGTAAAAACAGGCTTTTTTGAATGGGTGTGTATGTGACTTCCTGTGCTTCTGCAGACAGCCTCTAGTGGACACTCGAGGAACTGCAGGATGTGCTACTCTTCGACAACGGAGGTTGCCGCTTGGTTTCTACAAGGGCGTTCACATTAAAAGGGGCGGAGTTAGCTTCATATAACCTATCACAATCATGAGTGAGTAAGCCATCAGCAGGTCATCATATTCAACAAACTGAGCAAACTTTATTTAAAGGAAGAATGTGCGACATGTTCCACATAAATATATCAGACATCAAGTCTATCTTGTGTAAATGTGTCTCTGAGTCATGACTGTCTACAATGAGTAAGAAGCTCGAGTCCTGCTGGCTGTGTTGTTGTCAGAGCCGTGTTTACATGGACGGCCGGCTCCTCCCCTTGTGTATAAAAGCTGTTTTAGTCAAAGACTAGAGAGAAGAAGAACATACTCACTGATTATTTGGATGTTAGTAAGAGTTTTTAGATCACGCTCATTCTGTGTCAGTTTACATGCAATGTGAAGCTACAAGCTAACTAAAGAGCGCTAACATTAGCATGCTAACACAACAATGTGTTACCATGGTAATCGACCCCGGTAAGAAGTGAACCACCTTCAGAGTTAACCTTGAAGTGACCTTGATAACCAAAAATCCTGCTTGGTGTTCGTGTTCCTGCTCAGAAGGAGCTCATGATGATTAATCTCATGGACAGGGAGAAAAACTTTTCAAACTGGGAATGTGAACCAGCCTGAAGCTAAACAACTGTAAAGAAACACGTTCTATGTATATGTATGAAGGTCTCCGTTAGAGCGCTGCTTCATGACCTTATTCTCTCCTGACCCCACTTTGACGTCACAAAACTGTGGCGCCCCCAGACGTCCTAAACACAGACAGCTGTCTGCTCACATGACTTTGTTTTCCATCATGTCGTAGTTTTTCTGCTGTGTTGGAATTAAACATTCATCTTAGACACATTTAGTCTGTTTGGTGTTTATTATCGTGACTGAAGAAGAAAGGCTGCGAGGACGCATCTGCAGAGACGGAGACTCCCACAGCCTTTGTTAAATATATTTTAATAACATATACTTTTTATTGATCAATGAATAAAGATTTCAGGCGACCCCATTTGAATTCCATGTGACCCAACATGGGGTCGTGACCCTGAGGTTGGGAAAGCCTTTTAGACACTAATCTAGACTTTGATAACATCCCATCATCCACCAGAAACCCATGGTATCAAAAGCTATCGATATATCGTTGATTTTTTTAGAACCTGCAAACCAAATCTTAAATATGTGAAACACTTTTAGGAGACGATCAACAGAATTCTTCAGGAAAGGGAGTGAAGAACCAACTGCTGGCAGTGACCCCCGACAACGCAGGTTTGCTTTCTGTGGGGACAGTCTCTGTAATCTTTTTAAGGATGCGCACAAGACGGAGGGTCTGACTCCCTTGGTCCGTTAGTCTCGTCCGTGTCCTTGACCTGTTGACCGCTCACTCTATTACTTCAGGGTCACTCCAAGTGTTTGGTACTTTCCCTTTCAGAGATTTAAAAGATTGTGTCGTTTGTCAGGAGTGTAGAAGTGAAAACAGTCATAGTTAAGGATTTTAGGTTGTCCAATCAGATTTGAAGTGGAGGAAATGACACCCCTCTGGACATCTCCAGCAGGGGGCGCTGTGGCTCATTGAGAGGCTGTGCAGTGTTTCTATTCCTCTGGAGATCAAACATGTTGACGTGACGCAGAGAAAAGACAAAACGGTCACAAATGAAAAACTTTATTTGAGAAGAGCAACAAGTGTTGATGCAATCATCTTCACAATGCAGAATGGTAAATATAATAATGCAGTCCTACTTACTAAGATAGTGCTTATAGACCTCACCATGGATGAACTGAATCACACCATATATGTCAGGAAGAAGAGACAGTTCAATAAATAAGCATTCCACTAACACAACAATACGCTCATAAGTATGTGATGTACATATTCAGCTCTTTTGTTCGGGGTTGCATTCGCAGTAAAGGAGTACTTGTCGGAGGAATGAAGAAGAAAGGCAGGTAGCATACCGAGAAGCCGCAGAGTGAATGCACGTTTTCAAAATCTACAAACACAGCCGTACAGTTACACCTCCGAGATGTTACAGTCGTTTACATTCAGCAAGAAATGACACGTTTGATCCGGAGGAGACACTCGCCACGAGAGACGTTCACCTGCAAACGAGCAGCTGTGAGAGGACGAAGCGCTGCGTTCAAAAACACAGAATCCAGAGTGGCGGCGTTACCACCGAACTACACCAACAACACACGAGCACGACAGTGAAATCAACGCTTCAGGTCATAATAACACCAGCTTTACTCCTACACCGACAGATAAAATATGACTGAATTTAAATGTGTGATTATGAATCGACCTCTCAGGGCGTCTCTGCGCTGAACGCTCCGCTGCGTCTGTGAATGTTGCTTATTTCCCTTTTTGTAAAAAGCTTCTGAACGTCTGCGTGAATCCTCCATCAACCCAAAGACACGGAGTCAGGAAGAGCAAATTTAAAGAAGTTACCATGGCGACAAGAGCTCCTTGTGATGCGACCAGCTGCGGTGAGCTGACGTCGCCCTTCTGGTCTTTAACAACAGGAAGTTAGCGTTTTTAACGAGCTACCGCCTTAATATTCAGCCAGGAAATCATCAGAAATGTTAAAAAAAATGTAAACACAACGATACAAAAAAATGATCTTGATCTATAAAAACAACAAAACTCCCTTCTCGCTCCTGCCAACAAGTTAGAAAAGAAATGTTATGATAAACACATGAAGCTCTGCAGTACCATTAAAAACGATAACAAAACGATGCGTTAAAGGCTAAACACAGGCGCCGTCATGGAAGCGAGCGGCGGGGTCGTTTTTCAGAGCGAGTGTGCAAATAAATTATTCTTTTAAATAAATATAGATACTGAAGTCGGGCCAGGCGATAAAAAACTCCTGATGTAAAGTTAAGATGAACATGTTTACAGTGTGAGAAGCTTTTCATCATGTAGAGAGTTTATCAGCTTTATTCTGCACGAGATGTTCTGCAAAGCGTCGTGCTGCGACTGAATGAAGAGGAAATCTTCTAAAAAAGCACAGCGGATCTGAGGAGCCAATAAGGTCCTGACACACCAAGCAGAGGGCAAAGAACTAGTGGGACAAAGGCCGCCTGTGTCGTCGCCTCACGTCTTGGCCAAAAAGTTGCACTTGAACACACCACAAAGACTACAGCCGATGGCCAACCACCACGTACGCTCTGCTCATGAGAGGAAATAACTCTCCATGCCAGCAGGGGGCGGTAGTCCGTTGTTGTTACGAGAAGACCATTTTCACACCGCTGTCGCTCACCACTCATATTATAGGTAGCCTACTAATGGAACCTGAACCTGTGACAAGAGCTGGAGAGAAATGAAACCTCCCAACAGCCAATCAGAGAGATTCCTCTCACCAACCTGATTCAACATGTTATAGGTGTCGATGGAGCCGGACACACCACAAAAACCAGGGCGACAATCGCTAAGCATCGGTCTAATGATCTGCTTGGTGTGTCAGAGCCTTCAGAGAGAATATTGTTTGTTGTTGTCCAAACATAAAGAGGTCGTTATATGATGTTTATGGCCTCTTGAAGAGACGGCCCAGTAGAGCTGCAACAAACCGCTTTGAAGAATCGCTGATTTCTGACGCTTCTCATCGAGTGTTTTTACAGGTTTTTATTATCAGCTCGTCTAGTTTAGGGAGAGGAGACGACCTCTGGAGACCTCTGGGAATAATCCCGTTGCGGTTTAAAACCTTATGAATGGTGAACACTCATGGAATCATAATGTATCAGAAAGAGAGTTAACAGAACCTGCCGCTCAGCTTGCAGCCCCTCCTGACGTCCTGAGGAGCTTCAGGAGACACTGAACTCCTTTATTTAACGCTTTAATCAGTTTCAATAAAGGGTTCTGTTTATTTTAACGAGGGGGAGGTCTCTGCGGATGATTCGCCTCTTGGTTTAAGGTAAACCCTGGAGGAGTCCTAATTAAAAAAACTGAACTCTGAGACTCCAAACTCAGCTCGCGTCAGCAGCTCTCTGAGTCTGATGTTTAACATGAAGCTGCTCTGGTTAGAGTTTGTTCTTGGCTTTATCGTCTTCACTTGAGACAAAGGGAACAACAGAGCTTTAAAAACCTGTGATTAGCATCTTTAGGATATGTTAAAATTTCACTAAATGTCTTGTCTGCTATCTGTTATAATCAGGACATTCCTCAAACTAGCAGCATTATCGTTATATGTATATCGTGATAAATGTTGATATTATGGGATTCTTTTTGCTGTATCGCCCGGCCCTACTTTAACATGATTGTTTTATCTGACCGTGTTGAAGTTAAAGATGACTCAGAGCCTTCTGTTTCACCTCCTTCCTGCTCTTCTATCAATCCACATAAATCTACAGTGCACCTCCTAAAAGTGACCAGTGGGTGTTTGAAAGAGGAAAGGTGTGCAGCTGTGACTTCCTCAGAGCGGGAATATTTCACACATGATGATTTTTATTTATTATGTTAGGTGAGAGTTTTCTGTATGACACGAGGGGTTAATGAGAGGACAGAATCAGAG